TTAAGTCTTTTGGTGAATTTTCATCTCCTACAGGAGTGTATGAAGCATTAAAACTGGATACATACTTAAGAGCAAACAATATGCTACTGTATTCAGCAAGATTTTTTTCTCACTTGGTATGAGCTCTGCATTCAACCCTCATTCAAGCTTTGTTACATGAGTTTTCTCAAGTGGTCCTAACTTCCATTAACTCATAGACATGATTCTCTAGAATGTCACTTATTTTTAATATTTGGTTTATTATTTTTATTTTATGTATATGAGTGTATTGCCTGCAGGCATGTTGTGTACCTGTGTCATGCAATGCCTAAGGAGGTCAAAAGAGGGCATCAGATCCCCTGAAACTGGATGTAGGAATGGTTGTTAGCTGCCATGTGGTGCTGCGAAGCAAACCCAGCTCCTCTGCAAGAGCAGCAAGTGCTCTTAACCACTGACTGAGCCATCTCTCCAGTCCCTAGAATGTCATTTATGTCAAGTATTATACTATGTCAACTGTAAGACATTAAAAAATTATGAAATAAATATGATGATTCAGATTTTGAAGCAAAAAAATAGAAGATAAAATTATTTTGGCCTGCTTTAATAAATATCTATTGAACAACAATCCATGAATCAGAATGTTTTGTTTTATTCATACCATATGCAATTATAAATGTTGGATATCCTTTTATCTTTTAGAATGAACGTGGAAAATGAATACCTGAATTCTAGTCCAAACAAATCTCTGAATCTCAGCTGATATTTCCCTTATAAGTATAAGTAATACTACCAGAATTATTTAATTTGTATGATTTCTATGTAACTGAATAAACTAATTTAAATGAAAATAAATTAGATATAACACACTAAATTAATAGTATCTATTTATCAGTAAATGTTATCAGTATGAAACTACAGAATATAAGGAATAAATTACCTAATTTGGAAAGAATTTATAAGAAACATAAGAAACAAATAGTTTGTAAACACAGTATGGACAACTCAAAAAAACTACATAAAGGCAAGAAAACAGCCACATTTTCAAGCTGCTGACAATAAATAATTTATAATTTACAACTTTGTACCTAGCAAAACTGTCAATCTGAGAATAAATATTTAAAAGTTACAGCATCAAGGGAGGAAATGTGCCTCTGTAGTCTGGTGACTGGAGAGGCTGATGCAGGAGATCACCTAAGTCCAGGGGTTACTGGAGCCCATTCTGGATAACGTAGTAAACTCTCTTCTCAAAAAAGTTTTAAAAATGAAATGGAATAAAAAATGTTATTAGATATATAGTAAAAGTATCTTCTATACATCCTACTTTCAGAAGATATTGAAGGTTTTCAGTAAATAAGTAGACCCAGTGGGAAAAATGGGAAATAAGACTCCCCTAGGGAGGGGAGGGTACAAGATTTCTAGAATAATGGTAAACTGGTTCCAAGTCAGCAGCTATAAAATTATCCTAGTAAGCGTAGAGAACTTCCAGTGCAAGTTGAAAGAGAAGAAATAATTATCTGATGCCATTTCACTATACTGGCAGACATTTTACCAAGTTTTAATGATGACACACAGAAAGGAAGGGGAACAAAATAATATAACTACTCTAGAAAAAATAATAAGCGACCGAAAACAAGTGAAGGAATAAAAATCATAGTAATCTACCTGGCTCAGTTGTGGGAAAGCTATATAATAATCATAAACATATAAAAACTAACACTAACTTAGCAAAAAGCTGGGATACATTTTGGAGGATGAAATATGATATCAAACTATGGGTAGGTTGGCAGTCATAGATTAAAAATTTGTTTTTAATTTTGTTTTTGTTTTTGAGACAGGATCTCCCTATAGCCACAGTTGGCCTGGAACTCACTACGGAGACCAGGCTGGCCTCAATCTAAGAGATATCCACTTTTTTATTTTGTTTTGTTTTTAAATT